ACATTTTTTTTGTTGATTTGCTTTGTTTTGTTTTTTTGAATGTCCAGGGGACCAGATTTAACTTTTTTAGATTTTTCTACCTGGATTATTGAGCATGCATCAGGATAAAGTTAAATAGCTTCAAAAGGTATATAGGTGAATGCTGACTCAACAAAAAAATCATAATAAACTGGTAAACTGCATATTGTCCAGATGTTAGTCTAGCAAATAATTTATATTTACTAAAAACTTTATATATTTTTACAAAAAACATATAATTTTATTAGTAAAACACAAAATCTTAAAAAAGTGAAATCTCTAGATGTTGCAGTTATTTATTTTATTGCAATTTCCGTACTGTTTAAACAAATTGCAGGAAGAACCAGCAGCTGATTTAAGCAAAGAGAAACAAACACATGACATGAAGTATTTCAGCACATTGCAGCTGAAGATTTTTAAACTTCTTTAGCCAGGGCCCACCCAAGCCTCCATGGAGCCCTAAGCGAAATTTGATTTGGAGCCCTCTATTTCTGCTAATAATGTGGATTACTGCAATCAATCAGATGATCAGATCATTCACCCACCAACATAAATTCATTGCAACTCTGACAGCCCTGTTTACATTATCCTACTGTGTATGTATATATCATCTAGTTTTATTATGGCCACATCAAGTTCATGAATGTCCTCAAAAGGACGGACATAGCAGAATGTATTGATAAAACTATTAACCAACTGGTAAAAAATAACTTTCGTCATTCGATGACTGCTTCTAAAAATGTTATATTTTCTTTTTGAGTAATTTGGTAATTTAAACATAAAAACTGATTTGATTTGACAGATAAAGCAAAAGTGTCATCTGGTTTATTATCGTTGGTTCCAAAGAACTGCAACATTATTGTTCAAAATAATTTGTAATGCAAGATCAACAATAAACAACAGATAAAATAACTTAGATGCATAAAAATAAATTGTGCAAAAACAGACAAAATTAAATAAAATATCAAGGAAATACTTAAATAATGTAAATTGACAATTACTTGAAACTATGTTAAATGGTTTAATTTCTTCTAGTTAAATAGTTCTTAAAACTATATAAGTGTATGCAACAATTTGCAAAAGATGAATTTAAAATATTAAATAGAATCATATATAAATCATTACAATTTTTTTTTTGTTTTTTTTTGTCAATGCCACTTAGAGGGGCCCCGAGTGACCCCGGGGCCCTAGGTAGTTGCTTAGTTTGCTTATGCCTTGGGCCGGCCCTGTCTTTAGCTTATGTTTACCAAGAGTGACGTTTCAATTCAATTCAAACTTTTGTCAAAAATTATAGTCTTCTGTCAAACTGTGAACAGCCTGCATACCTTCATATCAGGACAGTTATAATAATAATAATAATAATAATAATAATAATAATAATAATAATAATAATAATCTATCCATCCATCCAATTTCTTCCGCTTATCCGGGGTTGGGTCGTGGGAGTAACAGCTTAAGTAGGGAGGCCCAGACTTCCCTCTCCCCAGCCACTTGGGCCAGCTCCACCGGGGGAATCCCAAGGCGTTCCCAGGCCAGCCGAGAAACATAGTCCCTCCAGCGTGTCCTGGGTCTTCCTCTGGGTCTCCTCCCGGCGGGACGTGTCCGGAACACCTCACCAGGGAGGCGTCCAGGAGGCATCCTAAACAGATGCCCGAGCCACCTCAACTGGCTCCTCTCGACGA